AAATGCGCGATATTTGCCTCGCCTAAATAATGTTTGTTTTCTCGAAGGTCATTTAATTATCTTCTTCAGCTTAAACACCTCTTACTTAGAAGATGAATACAATACCAAGCTCAATGATAGCGAGCTATCCTGCAAAACTACAGTTTCCTTCGGGTCATACAACTTCGGAGTACGAGGTTAAAATATATTGAGTGAGAGGAATTCATTAAATTTAAAGAGTGTGAAACCTACAAAATTAGCTGCGGTGAAAAAGGGAAGTTTTCCTTGAAAGTATATTCCCTCTGGTCTAGAAGGGTTTCAAAAGGATAATAATAAAAAAAAAATATTATTCCATGTATCTTCATTGAAGATATGAAATTTCGCGGAAAAATTGCGGAGTTATAATCTTGAAAAGGTGCATAATAACGCGGCACACAAAGACTGGTCAAAATACCAACTGTTCATTTTGTCACTCCGCCAGCTCAAGATCGATGACAGTTTTCATCTTTAGCGTGGCTTAAATTCAATCTTACAGGGATTCGAGCCTCTTCATAAACTCTCGACTCACCTTTGAGATAGCATATGAACCTCGTTGTCTTTATAAAAATAATTATTGCTCGCTCGTCTTCAGGCCAATGTTACGAGTAGGAAGCGTCAGTCTTGCGTGTGTTAGGTATTATTTAACAGTCGCGCTACCCAGGCAACGTAAGATATGTCATTTAACATTTTTGTGGCGGGCTATAAATCAGTTATTACGTATAGCGAATTAAACAAAAGGTACTATTTATTACCGGTCAAAAAAATAGGTATCTTGGCTAGATTGAACCATAAAATCATAGCTTGAATTGAAGAGTTAGATATTTAAAAAAAAGATTGCAAAAGCGTTTATTGGATCTGCTCGGCACGAAAGTTGTCATGACTTGGAAATTCGTTTTTAAAAATTCGCTGCTTTGCCGTGAATCGGACTGAATGATATAAATAGCAAATATAAGTTTTCCAACGATTTTAATTCTTAGTGAGAGAGTCTTCAGCTTTGCACTTTCGAGCGATAATTGAATTAAAGGCCGTTCTTCTTCTTCTTCTTCGTGTAGACGTCGCTAATCGCTGATCAATGGCATGGTAGAAATTTGCTAGCAAAGATCTTTAACCGTTCGTCAACACAATCTTATCTCGCACATCTATAATTTCTTACAGCAGGGCAGACTTCTCATGGTACTAGATGGTTTGAAATGAAATAATACCTAAAAATTTGATGAGTGAAATTCATAATTATATATAAAATGAGGGACATTACAATTGCTCTGCTACTGGCTACTTCTGACGAACATTAAATAATTGCGATGACCTAAGTAATGTGAAATGGTCAAAAACTATATTCACGGCATAGGCGCTTTTAATTTAAAGAATTGACTGGTTCAGTTCGTTTATTAAAAAAATCTCACTGGCAAAGCGAAAACTGAGTGAAATTCTGGTCATTTTTTAAACATACCACATGAATGAATGGAAAGGTTTTAGAAATGACTAAAACAAACACTTTACTGGAATTTGAATGAGATGTGTTTATTAAACTTGACAATTACTGATAAAAATGTTTGTGAGTTAAGGGATCGACTGGGAAAAATCTTCGTTAAGGCGAATTTGTGAAGACACAGGTCCTTATAGGTATACCTGTTTGTGCCCCTTTCGGACTGCTTCATTTGAAATTGAACCGAGTTAACAGTTTAGATTATGCGAGGAAGGCATATCGGCGCAGATGTGAAGAACAATGCGTGCGAATTCACTTTGTTTAAACTGAGGATTTTTCACGGAAAAAGATAACTTGACGCTTATACCCTCACTCAGTATGCCAACGAAATCTGTTGAAGCCAGTGGCTCTTACCTATGCGAAAAAATGAAGGCTCGCAAACTCTTAGCCTGTTTTCTTCATCATTTTCATCTCCTACGGATGATTTGAACTGATTCAAAGCCATATTTTCGACTTCGCTGTCCTCCTTATGCATTCTGCTTTCCCCAATGTTTTCAGGTCAGGTTCCGAAACCCGAAGTTTGAGCTTAGAAAAAGGAAAACATCAGCCAAATAGTGGTATCGCTGCCGGAACGTCCGACCGCCGGCCGCCATGTTTGGCTGTTTTCTTCTATAGTACTGCTCAAGAGTTTACAAGGTGCTGGGACCTTACCAGAGCATCGTGGACTTCGCTATCTTTCAGTTAGGAAAATGTGTGCAGTGGGCACAAGGAAGACCTTAAAAAAGCCTTTAAATATAAACAGAAAATATATGGCGCTGGGATGATCCTCTTTCTGGGATCTTCCTGTGTTCCTTATGAACTAGGATCCTCATCCCAGGTTATTTGTGAAAAACTAACCTTCATAAAAGGCCGCGAGAGTCCATGAATACCAAAAAAAAAAAAACTAGTAAATATTACTGATTCTAGCAGTGTACGGGTGACTTGCCACATACGAAGCGAGCTTATGTTATACCCCAGCTCGCCAAAGGATCTCTGTAGCTAAATTTGCCCAATAGAGCAGCTACTACAAAACCCCAGCAGGGGTTTCAAGAAAGGTTTCAAGGGTTTCAAGGGTTTCAAGAAAAACCGGCTATATTTACTGTCGGTCTAGTACCTTGGCTTGTAAGACCTCCCACTGCCATCTGTTTATAGCCTGTGAGCAGGTTCTCTCTTGTTTGGGCTTCCCTTTACTGGGCACAATCACCTATTACACATCGGTAGCTGAGCTTAAGAAAAAGGTTGTTGTCACAGACCTCGATCGTTGGGTTTCGGATCCTCAATTTTTTTTTCTGTCTATGTGCAAGAAAAGTTTTCAACATCTTTTTTCATTCGAATATTTTGAAGCTGTTGTTCAGTTTCTTCATTTAATTTTTTAGTGAAACCGCACGAATGAGACTTTTTAATGAGGCAATAGTTAGTGTTTAAGTAATTAAATAATTTCCTTTCAACTGAGCAGTGTGTGTTTGCGGTCGTTCCTAATTCCATTTTACTAAAGCTGCATCTGTTTTTAACGTAAACGCATTTTGTAATTCGTTAGGTCAGTTGCACGAGAAGATTACTTTGATAAGCGTAAACCGCTGTACTGCAGCTGAGTTTATGAAAAGAAGAATCTTCAGTCAATTGCCTGAAATATTGGCAAATCCCTGCAGTGAATTTGAAAGTTATCATAAAGAACAAGGAGATCTTTACAGCAACTTATTCGTTTTTTGGAAATCAACGCTTTCGCACAGTTGTTTACAGTAAAGTCATTTAAAACTTTAACACTTTTGACATTTCACGGCTGACGATTTTCAGCTTAATAAAAGTATAAAAAACTTTTCACTCACTTTATTGAAATCCCGGAATTATTTTATAGCAGGCTTGTGAGTACTAGGTGTTCAAAAAGAGCAAAGTATTTCAATAACGTACCGCTGCTCAATGCTTAAACAATAACTCTTCTTTTTTCAGTAAACTGTCAATTACCTTCGATTCCGGAAGCCGATTTGGCTCAACTTTACAGTATAATTGATTAACTGTCCACTTAGTTAAAGATTTTGCTGGCTTTTAGTAAGAGCGTCTGAATTTGCCTCAAGCCATATGGCCTTTAATTGAACATGTTTAAAACAAAGCGACTTAAATTTTATCGTCACATGTTACGCGATTAGGTAGGAAGTAAAATTTTATCTCTTTCAAGTATAAAAAAATGATGAAATAAGTGTTAACAGATGTTTCACAGCTCTTACCTTCTAAACATTGCCAAGTTCTTTTTTTTTTTTCGTAGGCGGTTTTAACTGATTCATCTAACTTCGTTATTCGTTTGCTGTTCATTTGAGCGGTTTAGCATTTGGCCTGAAGCAAAATCCTAAATTAAAGATAATCGAAACGAAGCAGAATTTTGTCTTCGAGTTCTATAGGTTTTTTCAAACGATTTTAAGCCACACCCGTTTCAGAACCACTTCACAGAAATGCGTTTACAAGTAGTGTACAGAGGAAACTTTGGCTTCTTTAGAGATACAGTTATAGCAGTTACTCCGAGACATTTTAACCTCAGACATAGTTCTCACCAATCAAATATTTATTCTTAAAGCGATTTAAGCTATTTCATTAAAACCACTTATTCTATTTTTTCCTGCATAACCTTAAGCCAAACTCTTACAGAACAACAAAAACATAGCCATATTTTGAGTTACTTTGTTCTTGTACTTCACTATCAGTCCTAAGAAAACTAATCTTTGTTAATACACGTTATAGTTGGAACTTCTTATCAAGCGAGTATATGCTTCTATGAAAATATTATAGGTTGAGTTATTCAGTATTTTTTGGGATCTGTAAATTTATATTCAAACTTGAAGCACGATCCAATTTTTAAAAACTCTATTTCATTTTGTGGGTGTTGTAAAGTATTTCTATCAAATCCATTTAGCTAAGTAATTCGTAGGTTGTTTTGAAACAAAGAGAATTATAGAAATTGTTAAAAAAGTTGTTTTCAAATGATAAAAGTCAGCAAAAATATTACACTTCAGTTCAAACTCTTTCATCTTATGGGCGAAGGTTAGGGTTTTCAAATTGCTTAATTCAAGTTCGTCAAGTCCATTTCAATCAGTTTTCCGTGAAAAGTAAACGAGAGGTATAGTCGGATGGCCTTGGGGAAAATTCTAACTAGATAAATGAAAAAAAAGTGAAAAATTTTCCTTTATTTTTGCTGCAGTTTGAGTCTTATTAAAACCGATCTTTTGAAAAACTATTACCCGAGGACATTTTACTCTTACGCTTGTTCGGCAAGTGCGACTGTACTTTTACCTCATCAATTTTCTCATGATACCTCTAAACAAAGGGATAAGCATTTGTGAAATGAGCGCTTCGTTTCCATTCACTTGAAGGGAAAAGGGAATTCAGTTGAAAAGCGAATCAACACACGTTTAGGAGATGTTTAGGTTAGGTCAGATTCTTTCGGACTTCATCACAAACCAAAATCTCCTCGAGGATTAAGAAAATCAGTGAATTCTTTGAGGATCAATGTTACTAGAAGTTAACATACCTTTGGGATGAAGTCTTTTAGTATACTTTACCTAACAGCACGGAACCAACTGAAACAACTCAGTCAAAGCAAAACTCACCTCTTTTGAAACTTCTAAACTCAAAACAAATAATATCGAGCTTTATTATTTACAGAAAGTACTACTGCAAATAGCAATTTCCACATAAGACCTTATTTTGTGTACCGTCAACTTTCTGCCCATTTAATGTTTACACTGAACTATCAAACAAAGTCAAATGAAAATAAAAATGCATTTTGAATACAGAGGACGTAATTGAGAGAAATTTGGCAAAAGAACAAACATCCAAGTTTGTTGTTTACATTGTAAGTTTTCAACTAACGCCAGTCATTTATGGATAGCGACTTCAAGGATATTTTCCGAACGCGTTCAAACTTTACACATCCGATTCCAAAATTAAATATTGAAACAGTTTTGCAAACCGGAGGAAAGTAAAACTGTAAAATAAACATGGAAAAAGAAATACGAACATGATTAGAAGGTTTTGCATTTGCTCACAGCACTCTGTAACTTTGTTTTAGTTGAAGGAAATATCTAACACTGCGACAGAAAATGGCGGAGTTTTCAGCGGGAGGAAACATTCCAGTTAGCTTGAATTTTAACAAAAAAATTCAATTGCTTGAAAACGAACTTGAGGCAAAACTTTCTACTATGTTAAGATAGAATTTGAGCAAAACAAAGTTCGCCAAGCTGCGTGGAGGCTAGAAATGGAAAGCAAAAAGTACCAACTAAAACTGTTTAGAAAATTCATAAAAACACGTAGATAAACTCACGCTCTTACCAACGATTTCACCCCATTAGGCTTTGATTGTCTCGAGAAAATATTTTTGTTAAAATCATGGAGGTAAATAAATTGGTAAATTACATATAAAATGAAGTCATTTACATGATTAAGGAACTGTAATTACCCCCAGACACGCGAACGCGAGCAAATTTGAGGATTTTTTTTACACAGGATTCCCCATTTCTTCTCTCCCTGCCTGGTTTGAGCTATACCGACTTGAAATTTCTAGTGCGTACTATTTTTTAATTTTTTTCCCTCTAATTTCGGTCATCACTTTGCACAATAAAGGTATAATTCTATAGGGAACACGACGTTGCCAGGAATATTACGGTACGATGGTCTTCGAAATTTCACGAATCTCGTAATATAACAAACTTTCCCTTCCAAGAATATCGGGCAAAAGTTGTTCCTTCTGCCCAAGACAATGTCCACCAAAATCGATTTTTATGGAATGGAAAAATGTTATTGATGATACATCTATTTTATGGGAATCTCCTCAGTATGAACCATCACCTTGGTATAACTTTTTTTTCTTTTTGAACACTTTACATCTGAACATTAGAATTCATTTTCTTCATACTGTTCTTTTATACATTTACTGACGCGCTTACTAGGAGAATTTGTTCAACATTCAAGAACTTATTTAGTTGGTGATCATTTTTTTTATTCTCGTGACCTAAACGTTTGATTCAGGGGTAACCTCGTTCCCAGAGTATTTTCCCATAGTTGGGGGTTAGTTGGAAAAGGCCCTGGGAACGAGGTTGATTCAGGGGTGATATTGTAAGGAAAAATTAGATGCTATCACCTTGGGCTTTAAGGGTTAACCCGAATAATGACTAATATGCGTAAGGCCATGTAATTTCTCCCTTCATAATGATAATGACAATAACATTGCTTATGGTGATAATAATGATTATCATACTCAAACTCGTTCCCAAGTTCTCTCCTCTTACCTTCCTTTGGAGCCAGAGCTGAGAGAAAGAGGTTCTCGCTGTCTCGCTCCAAAGAAAGGGAAGAGGAGAGTAGGCCTAGCCACAAATTTCCGATGAATCCCAAAAAAGTTGCCGATAAAAGTGTCTAAAAGTTGCCAAAAAGTTGCTGAATTTCAAAAAGTTGCCGAAAAGTTGCCAAAATTTTTCTGCTTTTCGTACCTTTTTTGGGTGTTAAAGATTAAAAATTCGCACACTGCTTCTTATCAAAACTTTATTTGTCAAAGTCCAATGATAATATCAGAGGTTGTTTCCATTTAACTTGATCATCAGTCACTGTAATTGTTCGCCATCTTGAAAATCGTGCAACGTGATACCGCTGACCTCGTGATAAGGCATCACAAAAATCAACCCCCTGGGGAGGGGCCCTAGTTATTGTATTTTAGAATAAATTGAATAAATGTCTATCGAAAACTGACCAATGTGGTTCAAAACGTGAAGAAAGTGGCTTCAAAAAACCTCAAAAAGCTCAAAGTTGCCGAAAATTCTAAAAGTTCCCGAAAATCTCAAAAGTTGCCGAAAAGTTGCCGAAAAGTTGCCGAGCAACTTGTGGCTAAGCCTAGAGGAGAGACCCTGGGAACGAGATTGAATCATCATTATTAATTACTGATGTTAACAACTTAAAATCAAGGTGCGTTTGTCGCGGACTTGGTCTTCCGATCAGCCCTACTGTTTTTGTCTCAGTGTCTCCGCACCCCACTAGTGCCATTACTAGGCGGAGTAACACTCCGGAATTCATCGTTCAAGTTACTATGTCAAATCGATTCAAGGCTTTTCTTCTGCGACGAGCGAAATCGGCGTCAACGCGGAGGAAACCACAAAATTTTAAAAAAATACATGGTAACATACCAAAAACTTAACCAAGTAGAAATTGGACCTTTCGCTTGCAATACCAACACAGACAACTATCGTACGCAACAGCTAAAATTTTAATCATAAAAATAGCGTTCTCTCTATTCATGCATAAACATTTGCAGATGAAAACCCCTATGCAGGATATTGTCCTCCATAAATTCGTTTTCATATCAAGAAAATTGTCACAATAAGACGCAAACATTTGGTGAACGACAGATTTCCTCCAGCTCCAGAATTTTTTCAACTCCAACGAGAAAAGCTAAGCTTTTTTAATGAACATGGATCTCATCAAAAAGAAATGAATCTTAAACTCCTTTCGACGGTTTAAGAGTCATTTCTGAAGAAGAGCGCTAGGAGAAGAAGAGCGCTAGGAGAATTCGAGCCCTGATCAGCAGAAAAATTAATTTTAAAGCTAAACAAGTTCTCCTTCAACCCTTTAACTCCCAGAAGTGATTAACTTGTAACTTCTCCCTTTAATATCCATACACTATGCAGCAAACAAGTAATGAGAACACACAAACTTATCAGGCAGAAGTAATCTTGATCGACAGAGCTGAATAACGTCTACGCATGCGCTAGGTTTTGCCGCGGAGACACGGATTTAGAGTCGTTCGCATGGTTGATTTCCCATCCTGTTCCTTCGCGGCGTCGATTTCCTTGCCGCTTTTCATTTACAGAACAACCTCCAAAAATTTGGTACACCCCCTCAAAATTTTCAAAAATTAATTTTCTCCTTTAAACCTTTGGAAATAAGAAAGTGCCTTCGACGAAAATAGAGTTCCTCGGTTTTAAAGGTCAGCCCTTATTATTTTCCGCTAATTTCGCTAAATTTTAGACCTAGGACACTCGAGCCCGCGTTGTTGACCGCATACCCGCTGACATAGCATTTCATTATTCAGCTCTGTAATCTTGATCTTACTCCAAATTCTCGCAGGTAGTTTACAAAGAAATGTGTAGCGGCTAGAAGGGAGAATAAACAGTCAGCTCTTGGCAGTTCTAGGGTCAGAAAATGTACGCTGACCAGCAAGGTTCATCATAGGCTATCGAACATAAAATAGTCTCGATTCACGACCAAATTCTCCTAACACTGAAGCAAACTTTGAAATCCAGTAAGGAAAATTGTTGCTTACTTATCGCGAAGAGTGGACGCATATCTTCCTTTTGCTACTGCATTATATCGGAAGAGGAGGCTGCACAAGTTAGCCAACCCTTTCACTCAAACCTAACGGTCTATAAGAAGTTTTTTTTTTTTTTACTTTGTCTTTCAGCATAAAAAACAAGCACCGTCTCAACATCAACTTCCAAACCGGCGGCGAGCATTCAAGAGAACAGTTCCACTTTCCCTTTAGAACTATTTATCACCTACATTACCAGAAAGTTCTCCTTGGTTGCGTTAATAGATTATCAACAAACTAAGGTCTTATCGTCACACCTGAAAGTCCGAACCACCTTCTGTTGCATGCGCGCGAATAAAAGCTTGTAATTAACTTCTAATATAATAATAATAATAATAATAATAATAAAATCTGCTCTCATCTGTTTCCTAAGTTGTTCGTTTTTTATCAAGTGAAAGGGTTCACTAGCTAAGAAAAGCCGTTACAAAGCTTAGAAAAGGAAAAACAACGCAAAGAAAAATTAAACTGTTCAGAGAAAGACGAGGATTTAACCCTGAACCTCACAGTACTTCAATTAAAACCACTAAGAATACACTACCTGAAAAAAGGCAGTATTCCGGAAACGTTCGAGAACGGCCGGCTGCTTTCCGACTGCTTATGTCGAATATCACACGAGTGAACACGACAACTTCACGCAAAGGCGCGTGAACTAGTCCACGATAAGTCATTGTTGCTTAGCAACACCTCTTCAGTAAAACCCAGCTCAGCTAGATTGCATGCAAATCAATTGTTACCCCGAGAAATCCTGACTTTGTAAACAGTTCTTAAAATGAGATAAAACCGACCAAAAGAAAATGAGAAATATATGACATTCCGAAACCACAAAACACCCCGTAGTTTCGTAAAAACCTTAAAAAGTCCATCACTGATGTATAAAACTTTGAACACCTTTTAACCCCCAAAGCACAACAAACTGTTTTCCCCAAACATACCCGCTGAGAAATCAATTTCCTAAGATAAATAGATAAATGTTGACCCTAACAATGGGTCATTTTACAGTCCTGTACTCGGTCGCCAAGCCTTTGATTTGGAGTGAGGCTGAAGGTAACCTTGTTGCGATAGAGACCAGTATCTAGAGCACAAGAACAAAGAAATTTATATTTGAATAGCAGCAACGTCTGTATCAAAACAAGATCACCCTTAGCCTCACTTCTGTTCAAAGGCTTGGCAACCAAGCACACAACTGTAAAATGGACTATTCCATACCTATCATAAATTTATACATACATTTGCAGTATAAATAATCAAATGAAATCCCAATATACTAGTAGTGATTCTCTATCTATAGACATTACTTCCATTATTTGCATTACTTGGATGGTTGAACGACGGAGGCAACGGATTCTGACACTGCATTGGGGCGTAACTGGTCCGCCACTGAGGGAACAGTCCCCCGGGTGCTGTGCTGTATCCGGGCCCGACACGATGCGCTTCCCCAGGGAAGTATTGCGGAATGGTCACCGGATACTGTGAGTGACCTGTGGGAAAGTTAAGTGGACCGGGTGGGATAGAAAAACCAGGAAGAGCATAGCCTGGTATTCCTTGCGGCGAGTACTGGCTCTCATAAGCCTGGTAATGAGAAGGAGTTGGAGGCAGTTGCGGATTGGATGGGACGCTTTTTAACTGCTGCATGCTGCTGACTGTGTCATGGAGATTTACCAGAGGAGGACGAACTTCACTCCGTGGGTTACCTCCTTTCGGCTTCTTCCTCTCCACTGGACTCTTTCCATTGCTGGGGCGTTTCTTGTTAGTGGCACTCACGTCATTACTCTTCGAAGTAGGCCCGTTTATTTGCGAAACGTTATTCGCTGATATTTCTTGACTTGGCTCTGATAGAGCGCGACTAGACTGGTTCCGAGAGGACTCTGTACTTGTTTCTGCGTTAACAGGACTTGGTGTACCGCTGACCGGGCTACTGCTGTGGGCGGAGTTGTCGTCACTTTCGGTGTGTGTCCCACAAGAACTTGTGCTGTCGCTGTCATACTGAACGAGTAAACTCAAAGCCCCTTTTGCCTTGTTCTGACCTTTCTTTTCCTTGCGTTTGCGTTTCTTTTTGGGAGGTTCTGAAGGCTGGTCAACCGACTGGTCAGGCTTCTGGGACACTTGAGGACTGAAGAACAAAATGAGAAATGATATCATTCGATGGATGTCCTCCCTTTTCATCTGCCGAGAGCCAAACACGTGTAAACATAAGCTCAATAATTAAGTATCTCCTTAAAATAATTAGTGATCCTCCAAATTCGGTCTAGAAAGCTTTTTTGAGCCAATTCAAGACAGAGCACACTAAAGACTCATTTGAATCAGCTGAGCTAACCAAAGTAAGACTAAACCGTTCGGTTTTAAACACTCTATTCCTCGTTTTTACCTGTTTTTATCAGTGACTTCCGTTGCTCTCGTAGCTTCACCTTCTTTTGCAAGAGAAAACACGCTTCCAAATGATGGCAGCGACACTCCCAGAGGAGACTGCATCATCAGAGACGGTACTACGGGGATTGGGCTACGAGCAGAACAGGGATTGCTGTCTACTAACACAGGCGCTTGTCCATCCAACACCGCCGACCCCGCCTTAGAAACAGACGACGAAATTGATGGAGACTGGGGAAGAGATTCGTGCGCCATAAGGCTGCTGACCTCTGTGTCGGGGCTCACGGACTTCGGTACCTGAGGCACGGGAGAACTGCGCTTCCTGCTTGACAAAGAAGTGGAGCTCGTTTCCTTCTTAGGACTAGGTCGCTTTCCGCTAGGGAGAGGAATCATGTCTAGGGGAATGTCAGGGATGATGGCAGTGTCTTGATTTTGAGTCGAGGATGATTCACGTTCCTGCCCTGGGCCGACACTCGATGACACGGAAGAGGACACTTCATCGGACACACTTTCACCCTTAGACGTCGCAGAGCCACGGCATGGTTCCTTAAAGCCAGTAAGGAGGACGGTTCCTTTGGGGTTCACGGAACCCCCTTTGGTGGCATTGGTTGTGCTACCTGTGTGTGCTCCTGCCATAAGAGCTCCTCTCGACACATCGTCTGAGATCGCGATCGACTCTGGGGTCGTTGACGAAGGTGTCTTTTGTCCTTTTGATGGCAATTCGGTAGATTTCCCATCATTGCGTACATTACGGGGTCCCGTAATGACAGGAACAGGGGCAAGATCCCTCTGGGTAGTGTTTGAGGAGATCACACCAGTAGATTCAACTCGGGAACTTTGCTCCAGAAGTGACAAAGGCGGGGATTGTCGTCGCTGACTCTGATTTCCATCAGTGGAAGAAACTGATGGAGGAAGAGAATAGGTACCAGGGCTTGTTACGAAAGGCACACGGGATTTACTTGTTGGGTTTGGCAAGTTCATGTCGCGAGTTATATGTGCAATACTGAAATTTGTGGAGGGAGACTTGTTTCTGCTCTTAGGGCTACTCCTGTTGGTTTTCACTTCTGCTTCTGATGGACTTCTGCCTTTAATTCCCGTTTGTGACTCTTGGCATGAGCTGACAATGCTATCAATTGTAAAAGGGGAAGTTCGCTTCTTACTTGTCGTTGGAGTTGCACCACGTGTTGGAGTTCGTTGAGCAGAGCTTGCCTGTTCCGATGAGGACAACACCCCACTACGGAATGAGCTTACTAGAACGTTTCCTACGGGAGGAGTCCTAGGGGAATTGGAAGCGGTCCTGCTGGGAGTAGGTGGTGAGGTGTTGACGGGACTCCTTTCATCGACCCTCGGGGTGTCAGGCGTTGAGGAAATCGAAGTATGCGAGGAAGGTGTTCCTTGAGATCGCATTGCTGAAGGTGTTGCTACAGGTGGTGGCTGCTCAGGGAGAGTATCATTCAGCAGGTCGCAGAGAAGCTTTATACCAGCACTGTGGTCGGTTGAGAGGTCCGTGTTTGGAAATGATCTGCCAACAATAGGCGACTGACTGGTAGAAACAGGTGGGTTCACTTGTGATGGGTTTGGCAGGGATGTCGTAGATGTTGCAGCCACTTGAGTCGCGAAAGTGTTCAAGTATTTTTGCGTAGAAGCCGAAAGGGACCTGAGGGGTGTTGCAGTTGAGGTCGGTAGACGAGATGAAGCAACTGATAGAGGACTCAACGGAGAGACAAACGAGAGACTATTCTGAGCAAACGAAACCATTGCAGGAACTCCACTGCCAGATGCTGGTAGAGAAGTAATGGGAGTGGCTTGCCGAACTGGGGTGGGTGTCACAGGCGATGTCACCAAGGATACAGGCGAGAGGATCGCACCTCTGGAAAGACCCGACTTATTGACTGACGTTACTGGGGAGGTGACAAGAGGTTGCACTGGGCGAGATACTGTTGGTGACTGCTTCAGTGATGCCGTTGGAGTTGACGGAGAAACAACTGTTTTTACAACTTGATGGTTCAACAATGCTGCTGAAGACGGAAGTCTCACGTTGAGTTCCGGTTTTCTTGGACTGGTCACTTTGGACTTCTTTTTAGCGTTGCTCCCTTTTTGAGTCGTCCTCTTTGAGTTAGGGGTAGTGGGAATCAGTCTGCCATCTTTATCTACAAACGAAACCATCTGAACTGGTACGCCTACAGGCTGCAATAAGCAAGGGTGATATGCGCTGACAATTTGAGGTTGCGTACTGCAGTGTGGCGCCTGGGACGTAGGAAATGTTCTGGATGGAACAGGCATGGAAACTGTAGCTTTGGACGCCACACTTGATGAGGATATTATACTACGTGCTGGTGAGCCTACAGAGATTCTAGAATTGTTCAAGTGCGCACTTGAGTTGGAAGAAAATGGGCTCGTAATTGGCTTAACGGCTTGTGTGACAGGTTTTGCATACGTCCCAACTTTAACTTGCGTGTGTACAGTTTTTGAAGAAGAGACGCTGGCCGTCTCCCAGACCTTTTTCTTGGAGTCCAGCTGTTCGACTTCCCTCTGCAGTTTGTTGACCTTTTCAACCAAAGCCTTTTTCTTCTTCAACTCTTCGTAGAGGTGGGTCATCAAGCTCTGTTTTTCTTTAGCTTGCATTTCACCCTTAGAGGAAAGAATAACGCTCAAGTCAACAACTTACAACTTTATTTACTATTTGAAAAAAGAAAAATACAAAAATGGTCGCTTCCCGCAAAAAGCACTGGCTAGTCGAGGCGGGAAGCGACAGGAGAGAATAGGTTTACTTTACAGCCTGTCAAATTTGGACAAGGTATGAAGAAAAATAATTGAAAAGTAGCCCTTAAAGTATTAACATAACAAGTGGAAAAGTAATGGAGGTACAATACATCGCTTGTAGAATACATGAGATGACATTACAGAGTAAAAAGGGAATAAAATAGTAATAATAAATAAATAAATAACCGCCACCATTGCAACTTTAACCGCAGAATTAACCGTCATTGTGGATATGTTGATATAAGTTTCTGAATTATGGAAGGCAATGTAAATATCCTCAGAAGCCAGTAAAGACAGAAGCATATTATGGATCTCTGTTTTAAAACTCTTACGAGGGAGCTCACGTGTGGTGTTATTCAGAAAATTCCATAGATTTGGCCCTAATCTAGAAATAGAATTCCGCATTACGATTGTTGTGGATGGGTTAACGTAGTAATTACCAGCTGAGGAGAACCTTGTGTTATGCGAATGAACTTGATTTGAGGAGCGGAAGAGATTTTAAAGGTTTAAAGGTACAGAGTCATGGGCAACTTCATGCATAAAGGTCAAAACCGTCTAAAGTAAAGCAGATTAATTGGCAAGATATTGGATGAAATAAACAAGGGAAGAATATGATCTCTATTAGGAAAGAAATGAATCAAGCGAAGAGCACTGCAGGATTAAGATTTTACGCAAATTTTACTTCGCTGCCTGTCCCCAGGCGATTATGCCGTATGTCAAGTAGGGGGCAACCAGGGATCGATAAATAGTTAGTAAAGTACTCAGCGGGATGAAGTGTCTCAATCTCGCAATAATACCAATAGTTCTGCTAATCTTAGAGGCAACATAGTCAATATCATATTTCCAACTAAGGTTTTTATCAACCAGTATCCCTAAATATTTCACGTAATCTTGTTGTTCCAGGCGAGCTACGCTATTGATGTTGGGAGTCAAGTTCAAGTCAAAGTCAGTTCCAAGGAGACGGCAACAAACCGATTGCCATTCTTAACGGCCTGAAGGGCCTAAAGCTATATTTTAAAATAAAAATTAAATAAAAACAAGATAAAAATAGAGACGCGGGTTCTGGATGGAAACAGAACAGCTTTACCGGGACCATCAAGAAACAGGCCCCAGGCCTGAACTGTTGATGCGCGAATGGTAACATTACCAATTTAACAGCCATGAAAAGACATGGATTTTTTAAAGTGGTTACCCCTGGCTAAGTCTCGCTCCGGTTTCTAACACCCAACGCCACTTGTAAATGGGATGTTCCCTACATTGCGTTCTCAATCGATTGAATGGTCCGTTTTGCCACTTGGTAATTTAGACCTTAAGCTTCATCAACTAGAAGTGTCTATTTCTTCCTCTAAAATCAACTCGAAAAAAACATTTAGCAGGTTTCCATAAACATACCGGTTTCTGAACCATGTCCAAGTCGCCATTGGTAAGTTTTCCATCCCTCGTAGAGTTTTTGTCACCCTGTTAAAGAGGGTAATCATAAAAATTGAAGTTTGTTAAAATGGATAAAGAAATGATGTCATACCGGATTATGACTATACTTCACTTTTGGATTATTTGATGAACGACCTTTTAACTGACCATGTTTCGCTCTCCACACCGAACGCCTTCGACTTTGCTAATCCTAGCGGAATGCTGTACGCCTGTCACTACAAAAAATCTGATATATGATCTGACCCACCAACAACTCTTTTGTAGCCAAGTTGATAGAGCATTTGACCGCTAAATCGAAACTGGCTGAGGGTCCAAACCTTATAAGGAAGTAATGTTCACTTAACGATGATGTGGCGTCCTATTCAGCATCAACCCCATCTGGCAAGCGGTAGATGATCGTTGAGGTGCCCTGATTCAGTCTTGCATGGTACTGTGGGCTCTGAGAAAACTGTCTCCTCACAAGCGATCCTGAGCCATGCATTAACAATTTAACTGCCACGACATAATTCTAATTAGAGGTAGCTACACACACTTACAGGAGAGTGATAGTTCTTGTGCTTTTCAAGATGTTTGACTTCTTTTTCCAGCCGTTTTACTTTATCCTTCATCTTCTTGTGTTCGCCCAACAGCTCACCTGCTTTCATAAGTAACTCCCGAGGCGTCTTTGCCGTCAAACCAATCTTAAAGAAAAAAAAATATATATTATCACTCTTTTTTAATTTTAGTTTTCAAGAGAACGTATTTCAAACTGGACTTGACCTTTGTCACTTGAAAGTAGCTACGTCAATAAAGTTTCATTGATTTTTCTGTGAATAAACTGTCAATAAAATCTCTTTCTGAGGTAACCAAACACAAACGATGCCAGAGAAAAACAAAAAAATCGAACTAGGGTGGTTAAGGATGGAGAGGATTAACACGGACTGCAAATTTAGATCAACTTTTAATTGAGTATCGAAAGTCGTCCGGGATTTCTTTTGTTTTGATTTAACTTTTGAGGGGGGGAGGTGGCTGATTTCTGGTCATCTAGAAATTTTTCTCTAGCAATCTGCTGGGCAGGATATTTTTTCCCGTTCTAAACGCTCTTTTTTCTGTTACATTTGGGCTGTATGCAATTTTTTTCTTCCAAAAAGCGCTTGCAGGAAATTTTTTTCAAAATCATCCCCCCCCCCTCAAGAGTTAAATGGTCGACCCCTAGGAGGACGTAAACCTTTTTAGTTGGTTTGCAACCAATCTCTAGAGACACAGGTAACAATGGTGAAAGGAACAAATACTGATGGACGAACAAAAGAAGCTAATAAGATATCTATTGTTTACGTCCACCAACATGGCGGCAATGACGTAACGTGCAAACCACCTATTGTCGATGGCCGCTGGTCGCTGGTTTTCGCTCGAACTTAGAAATTCAACGGCTAAGAGACATGAGAAAATCGGAGAAATTACGTATTACAGTGTAATGGCCATAGCTGTACCAGTAACTAAGATAGAAGTCACAGACCACTCACCTCATCCATTCGTAATCTGAGATTTCCCAGCGCTTCCTTTTGTAGTATTTCCACGTGTTTTTCGGCTAGGGAAACCTTTCCCATCAATTCTTTCTTCCTTGCCTAAAAACAGGAAAACTTTCACTACAATGTGCGGTTTTCAACTGAACGTTTGAGTCTACTGGCTGAGAAAACGCGTCATTTTGTACTTCCCTTCTGATTTAAAAGAAAAACTTAGTTCAACAAACCACTAGAGCAGCTTAAACAGTCTATCAACTTTACTTGTAGTACCCAGGAGTTTCAATAACTTTTTCCATGAGCGGTTACCAATGGTGGGATAGGTGGCTCTGCCGTAAGGCAAACCCAACCGACTTTTATTGAAACTCCTGGTGCTACTCAAATTTTTGCACAGCGGCTGCGATGGTCAACATTACCCGATTGTGCGCCTGGGTGGAGAAATGCACTAAGGTAAAAACCATGCTTTCTAAGTCTCCCTTTACAATTAAAGTGACTACTTAAATTATTAAGTTTGCTTACCGAGGCGCACTGACCTTTCCAACAAGATAACATTTTCAAAGTAGACCTACCTTCTGTTCTTCGATTTGCCTCTTGAGATTTTCCTTGTATTCGGAGGAATTCATGTGGCACATAAAATGAAGGAACTGGTACCGAGTGACAGCTGAAAAAAGGACAATAGGATAATATGACGAGGTCTTGTATAGATTTGAGTATCGCAATTCACGCTTGCATACAGACTGCCTCATATGGCCGCGGTAGCGTGACGAGTTATGGCGTGACGAGACATATGGCGTGACGAGTTATGGGTACCATTTGGTACCTTTCCTCGCATTCCCCCGATATTCCAACACTAGTTAATTTCTTAACATTTTGTCAAGGTTTTCTTTTTCTCTTCTTCCTTTTTTTTTTTCCCATCATGAAGGATGCACGTGGATCTACGCAACTGTGCAAAATGTTAGTTATGTTTCCCTACACTTCTGGACACTTGAGCTCCGATTGAATCTAACTTACTGCTGCACGAGCTAAACAAACAGTCAGTTTAAATGTAAACTCACCAACTAACTGTGTATGAAACAACGATGACAACGCTGCAAACGAAAAAAAAACTAAATCATTGACCTCTTGCTCCTTGCGCATGCTCACTTACTCATAAGTTGCTCCAAAGCTGGGAGAAACTGTTCTATGCAGAAATTGTTTGACACAGGTGGTGGCGATGCTGATGAAATCCTCATTCCCTGCTTTTGCCCTCTCCTCCTTTGAAGGTTCTGGTCGAAAAACAAAAACAAAAAACAATAAATAAATAAATAAATTTGTCCATGTTGGATTTTTGTTCCTGCAACGTGTCTCTAACATCATTAGTTTAAAGTGTTATCCCAAGGATTAAGAATAGTACGGCAGTAACTGTGCTTGCCTCTCGCTGTTGCAGCCTGCTTTCAGTCCACATGTGACGAACAAAGTGGTCAAACATGAGCATATGCGAACGTTCTAGGGTCTAAGTGGCGTATCTCCAGGCTTTCAGAGCCAAGTTGTCTTACAGGAGTTATGAACGACCATAGAAGCCAATTAGTCACCGTGTTTTGAAACCATAGAGCTTTTTTGATAACCTGTCTCACATACCATCCATTAGGCTACCACATACCTCACTATTTTCAATGGAAAAAAAATGAACCAGTATTTCTTCAGAAAGACCTCAACAATTGCAAACAGTTGTGTTTACCTGCAATGCAGCTACCGTGGCATTTTCCAAAGCTGTTACGGCCAGATTATCCCTTTGCCTTTTCTCACTTGCTTTAGACATCTGTTTTAACTTCACTTTTGTCATGGAATTGTTCTTCTTTGGTTTTGATTTTTGCTTTCCCTTTCCTTTGTTATTCTTAATACGCTTCTTCAACTTCTGAGCTTTCTTGTTTTGTTGCCTCTGGTATTTCTTACGAACCTTCTGGGCAAATGTTGGTTGATGTCCCTAGGAATTCAAAAACAAATAGTCTTAAACTTTGAAATGAATAAAGGCTGATAGTTTCCAAAGAAACTGTTAGGGGTTGCGTCGGTGGGGGTAACGAAATAATTTGTATATATCAACAAATAGCGTAGCTTCATTTTCTGCCTTTAAAAGCACACACAACCCACAATTCCTCTATTCACTCCGACGAAGGGCTAACGCTCGAAACATCAGCTTTTGTAATCGTTACGGTGGCCAATTTACTATTTCAACTTTGTTGATATATCCAAATTAAACTTTTAAATCCTTACAGTGACAAGCATCAAATTTCTCCAGACAATATCACCCCCGAATCACACCAGGAGAAACGTTGGAAGCTAGGAAAATTTAATGTGAGCTTTTCCTTTCCACAAAGGAATCCGATCAGAATTCATCGCTTAGTTAATAGCTTAACCCATTCATTCATCGCCATGAATGACTGAGACAGAACTTCTCCTTATTACATGACTCGGGCAGTCAGAGGGCCAATAACTAAAATCAACCAATCAAAATGCTCTATTGCTGGTCCAATATTCTCTAACTATTGGACTGGGCACTGTCCCGAATGGTCCCGAATGATACTGCACTTGTGTCCCTTTGAACTTTAGTCGTATAATAAATCTCTTATTAACCAAGCTTGCTCGGGAGCGTACCGGAAGAATATCGGCCCTCGATCTTTATTGTACGGACATCGCTGCGCTCGGTCCGTACTGTCAAGACCTCGGGCCGATATTCTCCCGGTACGGCCCTCGCGCTTGGTTAATAAGATATATTTATAATATCAATACAATATCAAGCAGACAAGTTATTAGAATTGAGAAAAAGATAAATAAATAAATAAATAAATACATAAATAATAATAAATAAATAAATAAAGCTCCCCCCTTAGGGGCTTTTCAGCCACAATGGAAACTAACTTAGTGCTTAAAAATCCCCACTGGCAGGAGGCAGACCAGTGGGCTATTTACAGAGCGCAGCTGAGGAGTTGAACCAGGAGTAACTGAGAACAAATCCAGTGAGTGACAGGGTAGAGGATATGAACCCAGAACACCGGATTACAAGTCTAGCACTCTAACCACTTGGCCACACTGTCTCCTAACTAGAGATCAATTTGTGGATTATTTGTTGATCCAATACCAAATTCTACAAACTAATATCATGAGAGGTGTGTGGCGGAGAGTAAGGAGGATTACGAACAAGATCTTGGGAGTGAAAGAGTTAATAGCTTAATTCTTGTAACTAATTTAAGAAGAAATGAATGAGGGTTAGGCAAGAGAATTTGCAATTATTACATCAATCAATCAAACTAGCAAACTAGGAAGGTTATCAAAAAAAAATTCTATACTCTGTTGCCATCTTTCTGTTCTTGATCTTGCCATGTAGAGTTCATAATGCCATTCCTTTCCTGCAGCACACTCTTCTTGCTGTGGCTTTTCCTTGAATTTCGACTTCGGCTCTTATTTGCTTCGTTGGTGGCTTCAATTTGGGTAATGAGTTGATTCCACTGGTGTCTGGTTGAAACACCAAACAGAACATCATCCAGTTCTTCAAAGTTTGGTGTACTAGCCATTGAGTCACTCAAGCTACTGGCATCACTATAGTCTCTACCCTCCTAGAAAAAAGTGTAGGAAAAAAGAATTTGTGAGAAGAAGAAAATGCCAGCCATTAAATCTTTGCCACTTTGTAACCCAAACTTTGCTAGTGGCTGAAAAAAAGAATGCTTTTCAGACTTACAGGTATTACAGTATACCCATAGACATGGACCAGATTATTTCTTGTTAAGGTGAACAATTTTCTATTTTCTGACTTCATCTTTCTATGAATAACTATTGTGCAGTGTAAACAATTAACCTTAGACTTCTACTCCCCCCCCCCCCACAAAAAAAAGAAAAGGATTTTTTTTCTCTTCTACTTCAAACAAAACTAGTGATCCCTTAACCCAGAAGAGCTTGAGTTGTGAAAATGGTAAAATCTCACCACAGACACAAAGTGGCCCCAACTTGTCATGTTTCCTAAAATTTTTGCTGGTAGACATTTATGTACTCTTAGGTGGGGCTATCTCTAGAGTTTTCAATTGTGAGATGGACACACAAAACCCGTAAACATCTAAGTAACAGCTCCTCCTTCAAAATTTATGTAATTCTGACACTTCTTTGAAAAAATGTTAATGATTTACTTAATTGCTTTGGGGAAATGCAAGGGAAGAATAAAAAAATTTACCTTTCTTCTTTTGAGGTCTGCAAAATACTGTTCAAGCTGAGGAAAAAGATTATAATGCCATATTAACCAGGTTTGATTCCAAAGTGTGATCAGAATACACACTGTCCTTACAATTTTCCAAATTAATGCTTTTAAGTAGAAAAGTGATAAGAATAAAGAAAATGATCAAATGAGGGACATTAGATATTGCTCCCCATTTTCCAAAGGCAACTTAAAATCAGTACAACAATGTATCAGTACTTTTCATTCTCACCAGGGTCCTATCAATAACATGAACAAAATAGGAAACAGGTTTTCCTGTCCAAGACACTGCACGGCCATTTGGCTTGAGTTCAGACACCCGCAGTATAGTGCCAATATCTAAAAGAAAGTAAAAACAAATGAAAATTGACAGTTATGTTTGCATCTGAAAGAAAAGCACTGAAAAGCATACATAGGCCTTTCCTAATTCTAATGTGTGGTTCCAGAAAATAATTATCCATACCCACCCCCATGGAAGATCATTGGAAATTCTGAGGGGGAGGGGGGTTCAAGGGCAGTAATTTCCGAGGGGGGGTATGGATATTTTCTGGAACCACACAATATACTTCAATAAGGTTTCTAATCTTGGATTTTGAAAGGCTAAACTACAAGAAAGAACAACTCTCTAAAATTTGCCATGCTCACACCCTGTGCCTTTGAAGCTCAGTTGGCAGTATCGCCCAGCTAATATCTGGAGGGTACATATCTGAATCTTGTTGAAGCCTGGATATTTTCAGGATTCTCTTCTGCAATTGCTTAAACTGCAGTCCACCTGCAAAGATCACTTCTTTGCTTGATTTTCATCCCCCAGGTCAGACGAAATTTATTTCATTACAAGTTGTTATCAAATTCCTCTAAAGTTTGCCTGGCACATCAAACTGCTACCAGATGTTTCATTTCCCTGAACTGCATAACCACTCAGACAGGAAAAATGCCAATTGCTTTCAAACTCACCTGATAAATTACGTGAGGTGGTTCTGAAATTGAGGGAACAAAATGCTTTGGATGAAATGATCTTGGCACCTGTCAAAAAAAGCAACTCAAAGTCAGTGGGATAATGATAAGAAACTACTTTACAGACATTTCTTTAATGTGCAACAACTGTGGGCAACTATAATAATATGCAGGGCTGAATATTTTAAGAGCTGACATGAATTGTTGCTGCTTCAGCGGAATAGACACCCACTTTAAATGAGCACAACTCTGCCAAAATTTCATTGGTGCATCGCCCTTGAGTTACCAACCACTAACATTCACCCCCCTTCTAATTTTCAAGGATGATTTCTGAGACAGGAAAGGATGTTTTTGAATGTCTCCCTTTTTATCACTCCATATCATACTCCCTTAAATAAAATGTTAGGTTTGGACAAAATAATCACAAGCATCAAATGAACTATTATTAAAACTTACGAATTAACTTTGTGTATAAACACACACTCTGTTTCAGTTGACAAGTAAATGCTACATTACAAAAATAAACAATAAACAACAAAAAAACAAAACAAAACAAACTAGAAATATAGCTGGTAAAATTTAAAGTGCTTGCCCTCACACTTAGAAACTGCACACCATTTATATGAAAATGAAATTTTTCATGCATTATTTGTACTGGACACACCTTCTCGCATTGATGCAAATCTCTCCTTCAATTTATGATCAACATCTGGTCCAAAGGCAAAATTGTTGACAAACACAATCCTAAAGTTACAATGATATGAATCAAAAAAAAAAAAAAAATTAATGCTCTAGGCTAAGACATCAACTTTGTCTGGATTGAGTAAGGGAAGGAAAAAACATTCCAATCAATAGTACCAGCCCTAGGAATAGCAGCATTACATGTGTATATATCATGCATGTGACTCTGCCATGTTGTGTGCAATTTACATGCAAGTTATGTAAGTGTTATGCACAAGTAAAAGGAATATATGAAAGTGCATGTAAAAAATTGCATGCAGATTCTTCCGAGTATTTACTGTTGTACATCAATTTCTAGCGATAGTTAGCAGCTTTTCCTCACAGAAAATGTTTCATGTCTAAAAGCACTAACATGTGATGTAACATGGGATGCAATGAGGGGTAAGTAAAATCTTTTCTCTCTTTCACAGTTGAATTACTCACCCTGCAGATTGTATCTTTTCTTTCATTTTTTCCTCTAGGAAATCACCTTTCACAAGCTATTGACAAAAAAGACCTGTTACTAACTATTTCAAAGGTGTGCTTATATCTACAAATTTAAAGTAAGTTTTCAATTTTTTCAATTTTTCAGTCCATTAAATTAAACCTTTCAAGACAAATTATTAGAGATGTGTGATCCTAATTGTTATGTATTAACCAAGATTTCTTCATAGGCTGTCCAAGCACACTTCACCCTTGGTCTCTAGTAGGTATTGCAGCTTAAAAAAATGAATCTTACAATCCACTATTCCAAAATCAGTCTTACCGGTCAAAATCTCAGAGAGTCTTAAATGTCATTTCTTGCTACTTGTTACCATCTAAGATTGAGCACATTTTTGCTAGAGGGTCAAAAAATTTCAGGCAACAGTCTCATTGTTGAAATCTAAGACTTCACTAGCTGGAAACCCAGGCACTGAATCATTCTGCACACAGAATAGCTGCAATAGAGGTCTTACAGTAGAAATCTGGGATTTATCTACATTGAAGTACCCACCTTGTAGGGTTTGTAAGTTTTCCCAAACCATTGCATCCATTTACGGAATTCCCTGTCCATCTCCTGAAAGCAAAAAGAAAAGGTTCCCTTCTCAAAACCTTGTTTTCCTTTCCACTCTCAGGACCACTGACCAGTAAGGTACGTGCATTTTCTTCCAGCAAAGTGCATTATATTTGTTTGTTGTCTATGGTGTTGTATCCAAATATTATTACACGACTCGGGCAGTCAGAGGGCCAATAACTAAAATCAACCAAACAAAATGCTCTATTGCTGGTCAATATTCTCTAAGTAT